CTCTTTCCCAGCTTAATTTGCTGTGTACAGAAACCAAACTGTCTGCACTAGTGTAACTTCAGACAGCATTTTCACTATTTGAAAATTCGAGTTATTTCTTGAATTAAGAATAAGCAAATATCAGTTGGTTCCTTGAAGAAGCACTCTCAAAGAGGATGCACACTGAATGATCTGAAAATAATTAACCAGAGAGTTGTCAACAAAAAATGGCCACTATTTTCCTCAAGTATCACAGAACAGATACAAAAGGCAGGAACAGACAAGCATTTCCAGGGAAGCACACCATCTTCCCATAGCCAAGGAGGGTCTAGAAATGGACCCTTTTTTATTATTCGAATAAAAAAAAAAAATCTGTATTTTATTCTTAATACAATTGGGATACTAAACAGCTGAGGTCTATTGCTGTCAGATTATCTGCCCACTTGAGTCTGTACATACATCAGAAATACAAAGTCATCAGTAATTTACATTTCTCAGTACCCAATTGTGAAATATTTTTTTTATCATCTCATTTTTTAAAATACTGAGTAAAAATATCTTTTTGGCATTTTGTTGAATTCTGTTAAATTCACAGAAAGCTTGTTAATCTAGTAACTGCAGTACCCTATTGTGAAATATTTTTTGTATCATCTCAATTTTTTAAATACTGAGTAAAAATCTCTTTCTGGCATTTTGTTGAATTCTGTTAAGTTCACAGAAAGCTTGTTAATCTAGTAACAGACTTCCACAGATTTATGTGCACTAGAGTGGTTAATATTTATTAATCAATTCATCAACTCAACATAATGGAAAGCACTAGAAAACGAGGGAAGGACAGAGATAAACTGGCGCTCGCAATACTGTAACTACATCACACTCATCTTTTAGAGAATAAAAACAGATTTAAAGAAAGAAATGTTTTAGCAGACTAAAGAGTCACAGGCTGCAGTTCTAGACTATAGCAAGAATTTAAGGGAGAGTAGGTGACCTTAATATTCTTTACAGCTTCTTCTATCCAACAGCATTTTTCGTATTATAAGAGATTTTACCTTTAGGAACCAGTTCAGTGACAGAGCCTGGAGACTTCCAGTTCACTTAGTCTGCACTTAAATCAGGGTCGGAGGGTGATGGCTATTATACACATTAGACTAGGAGAGCCCTGTGAATGCTGCTTGGAAGTCAGCAAAGGCAAAAGAGCTTTAAAGGCTGAGAGTGACTTGCTGGCACAGACAATAGGATGTAGCAGGTTTTAAAAGGCTCTGGCTGTGACAGCCGCAATGGCACAATCTTACTGGGAAAAAACGAGAAGGGAAAGGGAAAGGAAGGCAAAGCAAGGAAAGGCAAGGCAAGATGAGAGTATTCCTTCATCTAACTTTCCAGTAACATTTTGAAACGCTGGTTTAACACTTGACTCTTTTGTCACGAGAGTATTCCTTCATCTACCTTTCCAGTAACATTTTGAAATGCTGGTTTAACACTTGACTCTTTTGTCATTTTCTTGGAATTAAAATAGGCAAACAAAATCTAACACTGACCCTTAAATTTCCTTGAACTTAACATTTCCCAGAAATATGCCTCTCATTTATCGAGCTTTAAAATTTACATTCTGGGAAGGTATGCAATTCTACACTAAGCATTGCTTCTGGCTTTTTAGAAGTATTTAATTGGCAAGATGGACAGTGAAGAACATAAAAAAGCCAAAGGGTTTGATTAATCAGTGCACTGTGTGCCTTTGTAGACCATGGAACATTTGCCCCACATGACAATTTGATTCAGGGCACTGTAACACCTTGATATAAGAAGAGCAGAAAAATTTTATATAGCAACTAAAATGTCAACTAAAAGAAATTCCAGTAAGGCCCTGTATATGAGAACTTTGTGGTCAAGCTGTATTACCATACATCTATCTTTCATGATATGCTTCTGCTGAATGACATTGAAAACAAAATTTTCAGGCAACTTTCTTTGGTGTTGGGCATTGTAGCAGTAGGTCAGTTCAAGGACTTACAGATAGCAATATAAAGCTGGGAACCCTGAATTAATGCAAGGTGGTACAAGAAGCTCATAGAGGTAACATGTGGAGAAAAGAAAGAAATAAGGAAGTTATTCCACGATTTTTTTCCCCCCACTGTGACAAGCATTTCTCAGCAACTTCTCTGGGCCTCTACATGCAGAGGATAAAGAATTGTTGAGTTGGAGCTATATACAGAGCATATGGCATGTTGCAAAATCGTGCAAAGGGTTGGGATGGCATGTGTGACATCACGTCTTGTCTGAATGACATTGCTAGTGTTTTGAGGAGCTGATGCTATTTTACCAGCTGTGAAGCTATAGAATGACATGATTATACAATGCAAAACACTGAGCTCTGGGAGATTAAAGACTGTTACTGTGCAATGCTTATCTGTTGCACTGCAGAGATGTTTCTGCTAGGATCTGGATCTTCATGTGGTGCTGGAGAAACAGCAGTGCAGACTTTAAACACCTATTTCCCAAGTATTATAAAAACTAAAGCATATCTGGCTGTGGCTGTGGCTGTGGAGCAGCCAGTGTAATATACTAGGAGGCATAAAAAGCTGTCAGCTGATGAACTGTATAAGGCTTGATATTAAAAAGAGAGAGATCTCTCCCAGTCTCTCTCAGTTGATATAAAATCTCATTTTGTCAGAGGGTTAAGTACAAGGATCAAATTAATCTCTTAGTAATTAACAGTACCTTTGTTCTGCAAAGCATCTGGATAGTAAACCCTCTTTATATAGAAAGATAACTGTATGTCTCTTCCAGAGTGAAATTAGTAGCAAAACTGTCAGGGCTCCCCTACAGTTAAGTATATCAGGTCCCATCTGAAAGAGAAAGCAAACTCTAAGCCTGCATCACCCTTAGAGGTCCTTTCCCAGTGCTTCACAGATTTTTTTAATATTTATATTTCTTTTCATTTATTTGTATATTAATTATATCTTATGATATCATATTATATTTATTTGGAGTATTTTTCCTGCAATTATACCATTCTATGAATTGCCCAATAAGTTCACTCTCAGAATACCTCTTTGTGTTACATATGAAGAAAAATAAAAACTACAAAAGTTGTACTTCTAAATAGTCTCAAAATAAAATATGTTGCAATTAGTTCAAACAAATCTGCTACAAACATAATTGTTCAGAGTTTGGTCTTCCTAACAGACTCCTGTTTTATTCTCCTTCACCCATCTATTTATCCTCTCATACAGACAACCATAGCTCCAACAGGCAGGTAGCAGCCATGAGGCTAAATAAAAGTCTCTTAGTAAGATATATTTCCAAGATAATGCAACACACTGGATAGGGATGTCATTTCTGTTATAATAGCACTGTTCGTAATCACTGATGGCTAAATGGTGTTTCCTGATAAGCAGCTCCTGAAGTGCTGAGTTATTGCTGGGCCTCATTTTTTCTGAATTTAATCTACAACAGCAGCTTTATAGATTTGCTGCTACTGACATCTCCTTGGTTCATATTCTTTTGTTTCTTCTTTCTGTAGAAGAACAAGTTAAACAAGACTGTTCTTCACTGTGCATTGGGTTGCTAGTTGCTCCTTGAATTCAGATGCCATTTGGGTGTGACATAGTGACGTGAGTTGCTCACAGACATTTCCTGTATCTTACATGTGCTCTGTAGCCATCAGCAGCTCCCACACTCTAACTCATGCTCCTCAATGTTTATAGTTTATACACAGTAGCAGATGAAAGCTGCAACTTACATGAAAATTACCTTCCCCAGATAACTCTTGCTATAAGATTGAATCCTTTCTTCCCACTTCCTTCATCTTTACAACCATTTGGAATTGCTTGGTTCTCTGCTAATCTTACATAGAGTAGACATCACACGTGTACATATTCAGCTTTTCAAGAATTTAACAATTTACAAATGGCTTCAGATGCAAAATTCTCGTAGAACTATATCTATGATTTACAAATGGTTTCAGTTGCAAAATTCTCGTAGAACT